TAAGGAGACCTTTTATTTTCGCGTCTGTTCTCGAAGCTACGTGGTCACATGACCCGGCCAATCACAGACCGGGGAGTAGGTCACGCCTGGGGTCAGAGTCGGCGGTGGGTCAGTGGTGGTCCGGGCGGCGCCGGGGAAGGTAAGTCAGTTCTCGTTGATATTCACGACATAACTGGCTCCTTTCCCCCCGCTCTCTTTGACTGCCACTCCGGTCCTTCTACCCTCAGCTCTCGTTGATATTCACGACGTAGCTGGCTCTTCTCCCTCCGTTCCCTTTGACTCCGACTCCGGTTCTTCTACCCTCCGCTGTCGTTGATATACACGACGTCAGCATGTCCTTGTCAACATTGCTATTCACGATGTTGACATATCTTAAGTGACCGTTGTTGTCACCGACGACTGCTACCTCCCCTGGGGATTATAGCCGCCGTGTACTCTTACCGAACATGGTATAGCGATGTGGGAAATTTGAATGACTTCATGCCTATATGCTTCTGCGATTAATTTACCCTATTTTGGTTAAACGCCTTTGGTCTACTAGATATTTAATCGAGCCCGCCCAACATAACAATATTGTATTTGCTTTGACACTCAACCAGGACTCCAGGGACCACAGTGGCACCCTGTGACTCCAGGGACCACAGTGGCACCCCCTGACTCCAGGGACCGCTGTGGCGCCCTGTGGCCTCAGGGTCTACAGTGGCACCCTGTGCAGCGTTCAGTACATTGTTTGCCATGCACACCCCAAGCATGGGCACTAGAAGCTGCTTCACGGTGGATCCTCTGAGGCCCTACAACGTGGCGCTCGGGGGTCGGATAACAACTACAACACCTCCCGGCATGTTCATCCGCGCTTCTACACTGGATTGATCACCCCAACCAAGGCAGGATGGGACGCCCGGTGAACGGTGTTGAGAACTGCCTTTGATTTGCCTCCACCTCCTTGAAACCTTACTAGAGTAGGCTCTGACGCAAATAGTTTTCCGTTCGGTGAGTAACGGTGAATTAGTTGAGCAGCATGCGGTTAGCTAAGGCCTTTCCCTTCCTACCCCCCATTCATGAGAGCAAATTGAGCCCTAAAGTCACATTCATTCCATTTAGCAACAGCCCGAAACCACCGCTAAAACCTCACACCGCCCTCACGAATGCACGTTTGGGGGCTTATACACGGCTATGAAGCAGAAAGCTCAGAATTAAGCTCAGAGCCAATAATAACTAACTTTGTCCTCCCGTCCCCTTCCCCACCGCCATGCCGCTCCTCGGCACCGCGTCGTCGCCAAGGTCGATCAAGGTCACACGCAGATCTGGATCAATAGGCATAGAACCGAATGAATTGCATGCCAGACGCGGGCGCAAAAAGCCCAGCGTCTCGATGGCTGTGTTGCCAGGGGCTGGGGCGACGCCTGAGCCATTCTTCTGGCGTGGCTGCACCCGTCCCGCACACTGCAACGTGCCACCAGCAGCCTGGAGGGGGGGGGGGGGGGGGACGACGACCACCAAACCGCGACAGGAGCAGTGGGGTTCTCAGAGCACAGATTAAGCGGCTTGTTCGAAAACGTACAGATTTTGAACACGAGGACGCCTGAACAGGGTGCTGATGCGTGTGCGTGTGCGTGTGCGTGCTGCGTGCGCGTGAGCGTGAGCGTGCGTGTTACATCTGATCCGAGCAGTCCTCTACTATACAAATGCCAGAGCATTGCCACCTTTCACTCTCCTTCCCAATTTTCCCAGAACTTATGCTGCTATACAATATACTTGTAAACGTAATAGGCATTTATTGCTTTTTTAATGTTAGATTTGAAGCACGTGTATATATTTGATCAATTAATACAATAATTGAGCTCCCCATGTGTGCATCAGTAGACTGAATCAGCTTTGTGTAGTCTAATTAAGCAAACGAAGCAGGTTTGTTGTCTGAAGGGGGCCATAACACTACAAACATTGAAGCCATTTTACACCAAATTCACAACAAAACGGTCTCGGGGATAACCGTGCTCATTAAACCCGGTCCAAATGCGGAAGAGGACGCAGCACCGCTGGGCTGACAGTGCCTCAATGCGATCAACGCTTGCCAGTGATAGCCTCGAAAGGGAAAGGCTTAACGCAAACATCCCGTGACCAATCGTGACCTGACCTTATCTAACATTGTAAAAAGTAAAGATGAGGGTTAGTAATCCAACCCCTGTCTGCCAGGTTTGTGCGTGTGGGAGGGGTGAGCGGCAACTGGCGCCCCCGTCCCCTTGCTCGGCCGTGCCCTGGCACGATAGACGACTAAAGTGCTTTGCATACAGGTACGAAGTTCGCTGGTCATCATAACTCCATGCAAATGCACTAAGGAGAAAACATTTTAAAAAGAGTTCGAGAGATATCAGCATGCGTGAATACGTAGCTTTGTCAGGGCCTAAGAATGGCACAAAGGTAGAAAAAATAGTCGAGAATACCAACGAGGTCAGTTTTTTTTCTGTGCATTACATACGATGTTAACTGAGCAATTTTACGAGCAGCGAATGAACAGAGGATAGAGGGACGTCTCACTCACATCGCCTCATTTATGAATGATTCAATGACAGCACCGGGTTTTAAAATAACTTCAAAGGGAGTGTTTCACAGCTGTATGGGGCTTTGGGCCGAAATAGCCATCTGGAAGATCATTCATTACAGCTCACAGTCCTGCCCTCCTTAAGACCTTAAGCTCTTCCAGTTGCTGAGCAGCACGCTCGCGAAGATATGTAAACTGCTTCGTGCAGACGACTTCAAGTTTACCCAGGCATCCATGATGCCACAGAAATGTTGTCAAATTCTGCCATTCCATTGGCAATGCGGCGTTCAAAGTTATCGTTCGTATCTGGCGTTCGTGAGCACGATTTCCGGATATAACGGCCGACAGTTGGCTCCCAACCACTGTTGCGCAAGCTATGCAAGCATCTACTACAGTTCAGTTGTTTGGCTGCTTGGATTAGAGCCTTTCGATTAGTATTGATCATTTCAAGGCCATCGGATGAAGCAAAGTAGAAAATGGTGGGGCAGAACTACATGCGACTGGGAGCTTAGCCAGCACCCGATCTCAGCCCGCGCAGGGACCCACGGCTGGTATACGCTGAGCGCAATCAGGGCCTCCCTCCATGGGGCCCCTCGGACCACTCGTGGCTGACGTATGCGCCTGCCCCGGACAAGGGGCGTCGCGAGGAGGGAGGATGAAGCAAGAAAGAGGTTAAATTGAGCCGTTTTCTAACATGGTTTTGTTTGGATAAGAGCCCTTTTAACCAGATGTGGTCATTTCAGGGCTATAGGATGAAGTAGGATGGCTAACGGTGGGGTAGGGCCACTCGCGTCGGGCAGGGGGGGGGGGGGGGCAACCGCCGAGCTTTGGTCCGCGCTCGAACTGAAGAAGAAGTTACACATTTTTACTTGTTGAGTATATGAGTGCAAGCAAACATATTGAACTCACGGATAAATATGCAAGAGCACCACGAGAAAGGCGCGAAGCACTAACACAGCGATATTTAGATCAGTGAACACTTTCATTCCGTGCTGCCATCTCTCGAGATATATTAAAAACTACAAATGAGTGCCGTCATGCAAACGTTTCATGACGCAATCAAACGATGACGTATTACGGAGTATATTCATCGAATGGAGAAGTTGTTTTGTCTAGATTGGTCTTTTCCACTTCAAAGTATACCTATACCTCTAAATGAGTTTACTTCGTCATATCTGATGGTTGCGTTAATATCTTCAAGTGTGGAACATTCCCCGAACTATCCCAGCTATCGAGATGTAGCGGACCGGCGTCGAGGTCCATCTTGGCCGTCCGACCGTCCGATCCAACACGACGTGTCCCGCATTGGACAGGGATGTGGGCATGACTTGAGGTGACGCGCCGTCCTCGCGACGACCTTGTGGCGGTGTCGGGCCGTGCGGGCGGGAGGTCTGGTGCTGCCGAGCGACGGGCGGCGGCGTGCGGGAGCGCGGCGGAGTTCTAGGTCACGGTCACAGAGGGCTGGCGGTGCCGGCAGAAACAGGTGCCAGGGTCGTGGGAGATGGCTGAAAGGTCACAGGAGACAGACGGCGAGGTCACATGAGATGGAGACGGACGCCGGGGTTGCAGGAAACTCACGGTAGGTCCCGGGAAACAGACGACAAGGCCGCAGGAGACGGAAACAGCAGACATAATCACTGAACGCAGTTGAGCAGGTCGGAGGAGACGAACGGGAAGTTCGCAGGAGGCACGCGGCAGGTCTCAGGAAACAGACAGCAAGGCCGCGAGAGACGAAAAAAACAGGGTCGCAGAACGCAGGTGAACAGGTCAGAGGAGACGAAAGGGAAGCTTGCAGGAGATTGACAGCAAGGATGCAAGAGGCGGAGGCATACGCCAGGGTTGCAAAAGGCGGATAAGGACGTCGCAAGGAACAAATTAAAAAATCGCAGGAGGCAGACGGATTGCTCGCAGGAGTTATGCAAGACGTACTGTAACGTTTAAGGCCACGGAGGAGGTCACATCACAAGGATCAGGGTGAAAATGATGCAGAAGTCACCAGAGTGTGACCTGGAGGTTGCAGGAAGCAGGCAGAGAGGGCGACCACATCTCAATGACAGGTACGGTAACCGGCAGCGGCGGAACAACCTTTTTAGAGCTGGGAGAATAAAATCCGTCCGTCATTAAGCTGCTTCTTTCTGTGCAACGTCACTCGGCTCGCACCGTAAGTTTTTCAAAGTTAGAGCAGCACCTATCTCCCTCCTCCTCACCCTCTATACCACTCTCCCTGGTCACAAGAAAGACACGGACATGGTGGTTGCCAGGAGCGTCCACACGGATGCGCAAGGGAGGGCACAACTTACACAGATAAATTCTTTAGTTTTTTGATAGTTTCGATTCCCTTTGTTTAATTCGAGTTGCTCATCTTAGTGGTCAATATTTAATTATCCACTTATCATTACACGTGATGAATTTAACGACGTTTTGGGTATGCAATCTTGAGGACCACTTCTTGTGCACGCCCCTAGCGGTCGCAGAGAACAGACTGGGGGCCAAACCATATAAATTCATTGACGGGTGGCACGGAGGCGCTCGCACCGGTACTGTGCTACAAGCACACCGTTGTGCTTTTGGAGTGAAAAGTTTTCTAACGAAGCTGCAAACTTCGTTCAATACCCGTGCTCAAGAGCTGTCCTAGCCTCGGTGATGACCTTCAAGTCCGTTATACGCACAGCACTAACATCCAATGTCCACACGCATTACCAAACATATGTCGTTTCCGATCGGACCCACAAGAGATTGAAACGTCTTAGTCCCAGCGTTCTGTCAAAAAGAGACTTGCACCACCACTTGTTTCGCTCATGCCTTGATATCGTGCAGGCTGGTGCAGAGAGCCTCGGTCCAGAATGGAGTGAAATCTCTTCGCACACTTCAGAGCAAGCGGCATATGTTCTGTGCTGAGTAGGTGAATTGACACTGCACAAGTTTTACCTTTGAGTTTGCCCGCTGCCTGTCCTCCATCACTCTCCCCCCACTCCGCCTCAGCCCCTGGTCGCCCCGACCCTACCCTCCACCCCTCTCCGCCCGCCCCGCCTCAGCCCCTGGTGGCCCCGACCCTGCCCTCCACCCCTCTCCGTCCGCCCTGCCTCAGCCCCTGGTGGCCCCGACCCTGCCCTCCACCCCTCTCCGCCCGCCCCGCCTCAGCCCCTGGTGGCCCCGACCCTGCCCTCCACCCCTCTCCGTCCGCCCTGCCTCAGCCCCTGGTGGCCCCGACCCTGCCCTCAACCCCTCTCCGTCCGCCCTGCCTCAGCCCCTGGTGGCCCCGACCCTGCCCTCCACCCCTCTCCGTCCGCCCCGCCTCAGCCCCTGGTGGCCCCCGACCCTGCCCTCCACCCCTCTCCGTCCGCCCTGCCTCAGCCCCTGGTGGCCCCGACCCTGCCCTCCACCCCTCTCCGTCCGCCCCGCCTCAGCCCCTGGTGGCCCCGACCCTGCCCTCCATCCCTCTCCGTCCGCCCCGCCTCAGCCCTGGTGGTCCTGATTCTGCACTCCATTCCTCTCCGTCCGCCCCGCCTCAGCCCCTGGTGGTCCTGACTCACGGGTTGCGCGCCTAACCACGTGATCTGAACCCGGAAGCGTGCGGTCTGTGCAAGATGCCGGGGCCGTCGGTTGGCGGACGAGGATGACTATCGACCTCCAACGAACAATACCACTCAGCTCCCGGTGTCATGTTGGGTTGATATCCATGCTTGGCTTACTGATGGGTAACCAATGCCATGTGTGCCGCCTCGGTGATTCCTGAATTCACAATTTTTCTCCGTCGATGATGATAATTCTGTCCGCTGCTGGCCGATGACCGCCGTCTGACCATGCACGCTCCGCCACGCCAAGCTTCACAGTCTCACCCTAGTTCTCACCCTAGTTCTCACCCCAGTTCTCACCCTAGTTCGGTGTTCTTCTGAGCTGTTTCAGCTGGGCCGGCAGAGCGTAGCGTTTTCAGGGCAGTAGTTAACTTAATCAGGGCTTGTAATAACAGGACAGTCTCCAGAGGCAGCGCAACGCTCCAGAGAGCGCTTAGCAAAGTCAGGCCGCCGACACATAAGGAATACACGATGAACTGCATATATATACGACATACCATGCGACAGTGACAGTTGCCGTCCGGCTGGAGGAGCGCAGAAAGGTAACCATGTGGGTTGAGACTCTCTAGTCTGATGTGGCATGTCACACACAGTCAGGCGGCGATCACCAACCAGCAGGGTACAGACTGACCGTCATCGACAGAGAGGAACACTGGAAAGTGAGGCAAACCAAGAAGGCAGCACACATGACGTTGGCTGAGAATCACATCAGTAAGCAAAGCATAGACCTCAGCCCAATATGACACCCAATTCTGCGGAAAATCCCCAATATCCAGGAGATCAGTGACATTAAGTTCTAACACCGGAAGATTGCCATCTCCGGTAGCTCAGTTGGTAAATCACTGGACTCGCACGAAAAGAGCCTGGCTCGAATCCTGTAAATTTCAAGGTGAGAATTCGGATTGAGAGGCGTATGTATACAGCTAAAGACAAAACATTATTCAGCCCTTCTCCGGAGCGATACAGATGATCACCACAGATTCAGTGATACAGACTGCAACTACGCAAGCATTATTCTCGCACTACCGAAGAATACGAACCCAACGACGTCGAAGCCAGGCAACTCAGACTATCGCATAATGAAAGCGTGTCCGCCATCAAAAATAAAGAAAAAAGTTCATCGCGACCATGCCTTGACCTTGTAGCCCCCAGACCTCGGAATAAAATGAAACGACGGATTTTGTAGGAAAACCTGGAGGTATCTGGTTCAACAAACAAATGTGCTCACGACCAATAACTCAGCAGCGAAACACATCCACTTTCCAGGCTACCACTATCATGTCTGAGTTCCGATGCACTCTCGGCGACTGCACTTGCCGCACCAGCTCCTCCAGGCCACGCAACATTACTGTCTCCACGCACCGCCACATACCTGCAGAATGACACCCCAGGCAGGCACATCAGGGCAGCACATGACATACGGCTCACCCGGAACATCGTGGTCGATAACGCCACCAGCACAGCCAAAAGCACAGCTAAGGGAAGCTTATGATTATTAAAACCGTATATCTTAGGGACAGAGAATCACCATTAAGCGGGGAATGACCATGAGAGGTGTTCTGTCATTATATGACGGGGGACCACCGGCACCGAGGAACCAGAATATGAACGTGCGGTTCTTGCATGCAATCCCGTGAAATGCGTGAATGGTGTTGATATATATTCTGCAGGTGTATTATTGTTCGTATATTTAAGAGAATGCTCCACATTTCTATGCGGTTTTGAACTGAAATAACAATCTTGAAGAATTTTCGGTGCTGTCCACAATCCTGCCTTTCCTTAGACTTAAGTCTCCCTAGTTTCTGAGCTATACGCCCGCAAAAATGGGGAATGGTATATCCGGGAGGATATTTCAAATTTCCCTTGGCATCCATGACGTCAAAATGTCATTCGGATTCTGTCATTCTATAAGCCATGCGGCGATCAAGGCAAAGAAAATTGCAATGGTCGAGGCGTTTGTATCTGGCGTTCATGAGCGCGATTTCCAGACACAGCGGCCGTTAAATTAGCAGGACTCAAGCAGTACTTAGCATGCCACATACCTTTTATTATCAAAAATAATTTTGCCTGAACGACATCCGGTCATGAATTTCATGCCACAGCACGTGGCCTGCATCCTATACTTGAGTCGACACATCTTTTAGCAGCACCAGAATGGGGTCAGCCTCAGGGACCAGAGCCAGGGCGGCGGCTGGCCTCCCCAGAATCAGCACAACGGCCGGCTTCTCCGGAGTCAGCACAACGGCCGGCCTCCCCAGAGTCAGCACAACGACTGGCTTCTCCGGAGTCAGCATAGCAGCCAGCCTCTCCAGAGTCAGCACAACGGCCGGCTTCTCCGGAGTCAGCACAACGGCCGGCTTCTCCGGAGTCAGCATAGCAGCCGACTTCTCCGGAGTCAGCACAACGGTCGGCCTCTCAAGAGTCAGCATAGCAGCCGGCCTCCCCAGAGTCAGCACAACGGCCGGCCTCCCCAGAGTCAGCACAACGACTGGCTTCTCCGGAGTCAGCATAGCAGCCAGCCTCTCCGGAGTCAGCATAGCAGCCGGCCTCTCCAGAGTCAGCATAGCAGCCGGCCTCTCCAGAGTCAGCACAGCGGCCGGCCTCCCCAGAGTCAGCACAGCGTCTGGCTCCACAGGAGCCGGTCCAACGCCGCGAAGCCGGTTCAACGCCGCGGAGCCGGTTCAACAAGAGCGGGCACGGTGGTCGCTTCCACCGGAGCCGGCGCAACGTCCACCCTCACACAACAGCACAACAGCCGGTCCCGCCGCTCACCGGAACCGGTCAAAGACTTGCTACAGCAAATCAGCGTGAAGGAGAAAACACCGGTGTTACCTTATCCGTCCCATGTGATTGAATGCGTGTTAACTGTCGTGCCCGGGGGCGGGACATTAAATCAATCATTATAAAACTCTGAGCGGCTGATTTGTATAAGGTGGATGAACCAAAATGATGGGGTCGCACGCTGAAAACTCCAAACTTTAGCCATTAACCTTTACACAAGGACCACAATGTTAGTGGCACTAATGATACCGGCACTGGACTTGAGAAAATGTTGAATCTCCAGTGTGCACGCTCGGAACCGTGTAAAGTCAGTCCATGTTCGAAGTCTACCTCGGAAAATTATGTGCCAAGTGCTCAACGCCCGTGAAGTTATGTTTCCACATGAACTCTTCCAGCCTCGAATTAAGCTGTAAGCAAGCAACCTCAAAACTTAAACTTTTCCATCAGAAACACTCTGGTAATCTGCCCCTGCCGTCTGCTGCATGGATGCCCACACGTGACCGGCGTTGCACAACTGTATTCATATCAGGAGTAATTGCTCAAAAAGTCAGTCTGGCATATCCAGACTGTGGACACGTAGATTATCCCCATATACCGCTATGGAGCAGCGGAAACGCTTACCATTGCGTCCGCCGGGACCGTCTGAGTCAGTTTCCAGCACGTGTGGTGCGCTGCTATGAGTGCGACCCCGCTGACGTCGCCGACCGTTTTACTCTTCAAAACATTGCGCTGGTTTCTCCCGTAGGAAACGCGTCAGAAATACAATCACACCAAGAGGCAACGCGAGCGGAGCCGTCTTCGGTATACGTGAACAAATGGCAATATATCCCGGGCTCTTTTTATCGCACCAGACCTAGTTTTTAGCTACTGACGGCCAAACAACTGATGCCTTGATGAAATCCATGATGCTCCGTCACTCTGAACCGCTGGCTACAGAAGCAGTACTGTTGGTGTTGTTCCTCGTTGAGTAACTAGAAGAAAAAAATAGATGTCTTGATATTTTGGCTGCAGGTACTTGTGAAAACATTTATAAGCGGTGAATTCCACGACAAAGCGGAACTTAGTGCTAATTGTTATTTCGGCAGAGACTTGTAGCGAAATGTCAATACATTGATATTTTCTTTTTTCCTAACCATTTAACGTGAAAAGGGCCAATAGTACCGCTCTTACAAACGTGTGAAGTTCTCCGTAGGTGCACTGAAGAGCTTCCGTAACTTTTAGCCCTGGCTAGCATGGTCAAATCGACACTTTAGAACAGGGGGCGTAGCCAGATTTCGGGTTGGGGACTACTAGTGTTTGAAATGGGGGGGGGGGGCGGGGGGGGGGGGGCTAGGATTTTTCTGGTCCTAGGCCCAGCCCCAATCACAGTACTTATCTACCAAAAACAGGCTACAAATGTCACAAACGTCGAAAGGCACCGCACCTAGCTGATAAATTTGCCATCAATGTTAGCTTTGCCATGAGGCCCCCCCATAAAAATAGATGCGTATAATGCAATCCCCTGAACCATGCAGCGCTTGCCACCAAACTATTGCTCTTGGCCACACCATAAACCAATAATATAGACCAAGCTCAAATAAAATATGCCTCATAGAAATATAAAGCTTAATTATTATAGGCACCTGAGGACCAGATTGCGGAATTGTATTAAAAAACATCGTGGTGAAACAACAGCGGTCTATCCTGACAGAGGTGCGAAAGCTGTATGAGCTCCTCCCCGCTCTCAACCCTTAACTGCCCTCTAAGCCAGACCAGCTGGTGTCACATCTGATTTTAAATGTGCGTCTGTCGTGCTGGAATTATATTCTGTCCAGGTGATGGAGATAATTAGGTCACACGAATCGGCACAATCACAAGTCATGAATCCCACATCTTAAAGTTGCCCTTATCACATTTAAGCTCAAATGAACAGAGCTGTTGACCTGCTTCAAGCTCCCTACGTTGAATTACCCATAGTGATAACACCAGCAAGATTCAAAGCTAATCTCAAGGCAACGGCTCTAAATGTTCTTGCGCGCTTCAAGACGCGCGAAATGTGGCGAAGCTTGAGCCAGCAGAGCTCCTTTCCCGCTAAAGACGGATGTCCACGCAGCTGTAAGACAGCACTCGGTCTGCGGGTCCACCAGTCGCAGGGGCCGGTCTGTCCACCCCGCCTTCTATCCAGAAGAGATCTGAGAGCATTGTACCGGAAATGTCACCGCTCGAAGTGGACTGGGGGAACAACCGAACTAAACGCGTCTGCTGCAGTGCGGTGTGCTGCAGGAAACTCGCTTCGAAGTTCCTGTGTTTCAATCAGCGACAGCATTTCATTTATGGGTGCACAGATAACTTGTTATAATATATCTGAAGGGGCATTTTCCAACTAAGAGGCTATATCCTTTCCGAACAAGGACTTAAACACGCTGCAAACTGCGCGAACTATGTATTTGTAAGATACCACGAAAACACACATGCGAACTACTCAGCTGTGCGAGCTATACATTTTTAAGATGCCGAAAAACACACTTGCAAGCTATGCAGCTGTGCGATTATGTATTTGCAAGATATAAAAAACAGACATTTTAAATCAACTGAATTTAAGCACGTTGAAATCGCTGGTACTTTGGTTTCTGTGCTGAGCCAATTGTTGGGCGAACAATGCGTTGGGCCAGCCAAGCGTGGGTCCGAGCTGGTTTTCACGGACTCACTGATAAGAGAGCCACCCGGCTAGGCAACTCCTCTGACACGGCCCCTCGGAGCGCAAGGCCGGCGGGGCTGGCCTGAGGCGGCTCCCGTCCCGCCGGCCACTGCGCCAGGTCGCCGCTAGATGTCTCGTCCTGGGCATCGGGCTGTGATTGGCTGAGGTGGGCAGCCCGCAAGGCTGTTCTCACGGGCGCCTTGGCAGGACTCCTCGGCAGCGTCTCCCGGCCCCCGGACCACGTCATTTGCTGAAAGTCGCCGCTGGACGGCTCGGCCTGCACGTCAGGCTGCCACGGGCCAGGGCCCGCGGCGCGCACGAGCGCCCGCTGCTGCGGGGTCAAGGTCAGCATGTTGCCGACGCGCAGGTGTGTGCTGGAGGTGCGCTGCGCACGGGCGAGCCGGCGAGCCGGCAGCAGGCTGCCCTGGCTAAGCGCCGCGCGCGGCAGACCGAGTCCCCCGCCCGGACGCAGCAGGGCGTCGCCCGAGGCGGAGTGTGACGGTGGCGCCTGCTCCGCCAGGCTGAGCCGGCGCGCCACCGCCTGCACGCGCCCCGAGACGAACTGTCGGAAGGCGGGAGTCACGTCGAGCTCGTCGAGCCGGCGCAGAAACGGCGCGCTCTCCACCAGGGCGTCGCGGTACCGCTGCAGCTGGCACAGCGGGTTAGCCTTCACATCGAGCCTCGTCAGGGACGGCAGCTCGGCCAGCGTCTCCTGCGCGCTGGCCAGGCTCGATAGCTGGTTCTTGGTGCAGATGAGCTCGGTCAGGTAGGAGAGCGGCGCCAGCGGCTGCAGACTCGTCACGCGGTTGCCGTGGATGTTGAGGAGGCTCAGGCTGCCACGCACAGCCTGGATGGAGCGCGGGTCGAAGGAGAGTGAGTCACCGGCGGGCAGACGCTGCCCCTCCATGTGCAGCTCGCGCAGGCGGTGTAGCCCTTCAAGACCCTCCAGCACGGAGATCTTGTTTTGGCCGATGTATAGCTTCTGCAGGTTTGCCAGCTTGGTCAAGTTCTCCAGGCACTTGATGTTGTTGTGGGTGAGGTACAGGTGCGTCAGCTTGGTTAGACTGTCTAAGTTTTGGATACGGTCGATTCTGTTGTTGTAGAGATACAACACAACTAAATTGGTACAGGTTGTGAGACTAGGAATGGTGCGGAGACCGTGATTTTGCAGCCGAAGGTGCGTCGCTGGCTTGCGGACGGGTTTGTGCTTGCGCTGTTTCTGCGTCCGGTCGGTGTCGATAGGCGAGTTTTCTGCTTGAAGTTCGTCGTCTGAGTGAATGGTCCCTTTAACATTCATCGTGAATCGAAGGCGCTCAGATGCGCATACGAATTTTCGTTCAGTTGGTAAATTGGTTTCCTACGTGTAAAAAATGTGAGACGAAGGGCATAATCAAGCTCATGGCGTACCTTCAAACAATACAGCTCACAGTAACTTGTTCTCTTCGCACTAGCAATTCCGACAAATGCATGCCTTCATGTCTCAGGGGCTTGTTCCACTACACACTTGTTAAAGAGCACATCCTGCCGAAGCGCCCACTTTTAGGTTCACTATGGCATGCCGGGCGCTGGCAGCGTTATAAACAAGCTGAGGTCCCTGTGGTTGCTATGGTTACGCCGGGCAGGCCATTGTCGTCTACGTCATAATAGGCTGCGGGCACGCACACAATGCCCCACTGCTAGCAATCGATCAGATTTGTTCGCATCGTCTTCATGACAGCGCTGTTCATCAGTCTGGCAGTGAAACATTGTCAGCGTGTAGGCGAGTCAGGCGCAGTTCGGGAACGTCCGACCAGCCAGCTGCCCCGCAGTGACCCCGACTCGCGTCCGCACCTGGACGCTTCCCAGCGTGACAAACATGTGCTCGGCAAGGTAGATATCGTTCGTTCATGGGCTTGGACCCGTTTCAGGCACTGCCCTTCCACAGCACTGCGGCTTCGCTGTCGGCAGGCTAGAGAGTTAGGTAAAGTCCCTCTGTTTGCGTAGTTACGTGCGCTTGAAACACAGCGGCGATCGATGTATCGCGATGCGCCAAGATTCGTTTAGTGCTGTTGTTGCAGTGTCTATATATTCGAACTTAACAACTATTCGTACAGAAACAGAACTTGTCCAATCCAGAAGTACAACATTTCATCACTGGAAACAATCTCCCATCGGCCTTTTCGTGTGCAGACGGCAACGAGAACTTGGAGGACGAGAACACAAGCATTCCAGCGTGCCACCGAGAAAACTGGCTGAATGACACCAGATGTAATACTGCATTAGAAACCACACCTTTGCTCGCCTCCTCATGCTCAGTTTGAATCGACACGGATCATTACTCGCCGCATATTGTCTGGTGTGCTCCACTGCTTACGTGTGTCTTCCGGGTACTCGCCGCATATTGTCTGGCGTGCTCCACTGCCTACGTGTGTCTTCCGGGTGCTCGCCGCATATTGTCTGGTGTGCTCCACTGCTTACGTGCGTCTTCCGGACGAACGATGACGCATGACCTCTCAGGCTCCCCGACAACAAAGGCCGCGCCGAACACCAGTCTTGGGATTTTTTTTCGCTAGCTGGTTCAGTCATTGGGCCCCTGGTTGGAGGATCTGGATTCAACGTCCATCGTATGGAACTTTTACTAGCCCCAATTTCCTGTAGTGGTAGTGGTATTAGTGGCCTCAGCATTGACGTGCGTGAAAAGTAACGCAGCAAAGACTAGTTCTATAACACTGGGCTGTTTGTTACACATACACGACTGTTCATCCGGGACGATAAGACATACTAGTGCAGATCTCATTTCCTAGTCATAGATCGTGACTACTACGCATGAAAGTCAGCTAAAAAATATCAAATGCTGTCATTAACTGATGCAACTAACATGTCTTTACTGACTGGAGCTGATATTTTTAATGCTTATATTTTCCTTCATAATGGTTAAATATGGTTTGTTGAAGCTTTGACGAGTTGTTGCTTATTGATGCTTGGTTTATGCGACAATTTGTCGATGAGGATATATGACTTATGCAAACATCCTCATGTTCAGCTGCGAGTCGGCGGTATCGGACCGAGCCCTGGGTCGGATCTTGACTTCCATTCCCCGCGTGAGATTCCGGCCAAGATGGAGCCCATTTCGAGTCATCTCCCCAGGCGGGGGATGACACCACGGTCGGAGCGTGCACGCCCGCAATTCTCATCGGTGGCATTGGGGGCGGACCCGATGCATTCGCCGACGGAGGCGTGGTCGCTGGAGGTGGGGTCGGCTGGGGGTGAAGGCGCACGTGGCCGGGGCGCTCTGGCTAGGCCAGTTGCGTCTTGACGCCCCAGGTCCGACGCGTCAGGTCGCCGGCTAGCTCTCCCCTGGAGTGCGCTGAAACAGGGGGTGACGGACGGCCGGTACACTTCCCTTCCACACGAAGGAAGAGGCACCGCCCTGGGATGGTTAGGGGTACTTACTCGCGTCCCACCGAGCACTCTTCGGGAGTCTCTACGAAAGGCTCAGGAGGCCATGGCAACTACGGCGTTGCCTGCCAAATTTTCTGTGCGGGAGGAGGAGGCAGTGTCCGCCTGAGTTGCCACCGAGAACAGTGTTTTTAAAACCGTCAAGGGCCTATAGATCCACAGCCTGACCATGATAAGGGAGCGACAGCGTGGGTTTCATGGACAAGACAGCAGTATTACGGTGCACTGTCAGCTGCGTGGCCGAGCGTTTCCAAATCAGAACCTTTTTAACTTCGAAAGGGATGATTTCTTGCTCGGCCGACGAACCAGGCGCTTCCTGAGGGAGGCGGCAGGGTCATCGCCAGACTTCGACGACTTAGGGAGTTCCGCAGTGCAGCCTCAGAACTGGTGCTCTGGGGACGCGCACCCAGTGCACCCGGTGGCTCTTCGGCACCTGGCAGTGACGTTAACAAAGTTTTGATAGCGGAAACAGCGCACCTGCCCTGGAATATGTTGCCTGACTGGACTGTAATGGTACCCTACTTAGAATCTTGACGAAACTGATGGAACATTGAAAGTGAGTGCTGTGGCGTGTGTGTCGATCAGTTTTCCGTTCTCTCTTCGCCTAATTTTCCTATCGGCAATCACGCCGTGCCTCATCCGTCCCTGCACGATGTCCTCCGCGACGCTCCTTGCAGATCCCAACACATCATTTCATCTTGTCAAATCCCATTACGTCAGATCCCAGCACGTCATGACTCATTTCGAGGAGCTTTTGCTAAGGTGAGGTTTTACAGTGACAGTACCTTCACCTCTCACAGAGTGGTGAGCTCCTAGGTCGCTAGGAACAGTCGTACGTCAGTGTCATTTCTATTGCGGACCTCGATCGAACTATCCGGAAATTGCTGAGCCTCATTCCGAACACCAAAACTAAGAGAATCCCTACTCACGCTGGAAGAGGCTCAAACTAAGCGGCGGTGGCTTTCCATCGGAGCCGAGCTTGGCTTGCTGTACAGCCAAGTGCCCCGGCATCGGTGCGCGTCACGTGGGAGCCGGAACCTGCGCAGAGGTTCGAGGCTCAGAACTTGTCACTACTAGTGATAGTCCGATCTCCAGCGGGGACCCTCCAGCCTCGCGGTCTCCCACTGGAGGACCGCGAGAGGTACCCACGAGACGTACCCAGCATGCAGTTAGACGGCACACCGCTGGACACGTAAGGGGCCCTACGGACTCCCGCACCCTCAGTATTCCTGGCCAAAGTGGAGTGTTGGGACGCCCCACGACTGACCCGCACGAAGCGCCCCTCACCTTCCAGGATCCGATCAATCCGGGGACGCGAGCGAGGGAGCACGGCGACCCCGACAACACGGGGAGGAAGGGTGGTGAGAGGGCCGAATGCAAGAAGACGGTTTGTGGGAAGACGGCGGGCGGGACAAGGAGGTGAAGCTCACGCACCGACAGAGTCGCCAATCCCGGAATGAGCAGATGGCGCCGTCCACCCGTTACCGGAGCTGGGAACCGAGGGATGCCGCTCCCCGACACCTGCTGAAGCCGATGCCCTGTGCCACGTCTGCATTGCATTGTTGAAAGCCCGGGACAAATACGGCCTACGCCAGAATGAAGGCCGCTGTTTCCTGTACTTGTAGTAAAACAGTCTACATAACAAAGTCATAATTACCTCAGCACCTCCCCAACGGCGTGGCGCAACACTTCTAAGCGTTGCATATGCAGCTCATACAAGCTGTAGCAAACCAATTTTTGGATTCGCTTAGCTCCACAAAATATGCTAGCATAAAATACACTCTTTGGCTCCGTTGCTTAGGTTTGGTCTAGTTTGGTTGTAGCTCCTTTGGCCAGCAATGTTGTCAGGGAGTTATCGGACTGAGAAGAGAGACCAATAGCGCGACCGGTCCTCGGTCATCGTCTCCGTGGCGTCTGCGGTCTCCGCGGTCTCCGCGGTCCCTGCTACCGATCACTGCAAACATAGTGACCTTTGAGGTCTGTACCTTGAGGTCTATGCGGGTGCTCGGAGTGAGGTCTCACCAGGGCGGCAGTGGGGCAGAGTCTTGGCTGACGACCGCAGCCGGTAGGCCGGTGGGCCGTCGGTTTAGAACGACGACGGACCTCCTGGTCCTGGGTTGAAGAATGTTCTGAGTGCATTTCTTCCTAGGCGGCGACACTGGATGTGGAAGAGGTCGGTGGTGTTTTGTTCAGCTATGGGGCGGCTGAAGCGGGTTAGATTCATCCAGACGATACTGTCATCGCCGTGTCGGCCACACCAACATGAACTCCCGCCTGCTGAGCTTCACTTTCCGGAATTTCGTCTGGGATCGCCGCAACACCCATCGGAAGCGGACGGAATGAATGAGCCGGAGAGCGAAAACATCCGCCCCCACGCACACTGCTGACGTCACGCTCTGCCCCCTCCCCCTCCCCCTCCCCCTCCCTCGACGGCGCGTCGAGCGTCGGCCTGACATTGGCGGCGGAAACACAAAGAGGTGCCCAGCGCGGCGGCGCGGAGGCGGCTGTTTTTTCGCCTGCGCGCCGGCCGAATCCATATAGGCTGGCGTCGGCCGGCACCGTCATTCGCCGCTCGGCCGCCGCGCAGGCAGGGCGCCACCGTCGCACTCCGTCACTGGGCCAGTGGAGTGCGCGCCCGCCGCGGCGAGAGAAGGTCAGTGCGGCGCTGACAGCGGCGGGGTGACGCGGCCGACACAGGTGAGCGGCGCGCGGTACGTCAGGCACAGCCTCGATCGTGCGCTAGCGTGTGACGACTGTGACGGAGGACAGCACCGGACGTTGTGTTATTAAGTGATTGGTGGTTTTGGTAGAGGCGATTAGTTTGATCTGGGTCAAATGCTGCGCTACGCGCGTGATCTTTGATGTAGCATGAGGGTCTCCCGAGCTTTGTCAGTTTGTGGTATGTGTTAGCATGGATATTGAACTTCTAGACGGTCCCGTATGACCTGTTTTGTGACCATTTCGACCTCTCTTCCACGACCCAAAGGCATGAATTCACCATACCCACTTCACCGTAACGGTGGCTGCCTAAATGTCGGTGGTGTCGCAGATGTCATGCATGATTCATGCCGAGGCCATTCTGGTCTCAGTGCAGGGAGCAGGTTAGGTAGGTATGGTGTCAGGCCGCCGTCACCTGACCTTCTCGTACTGCACAGCGGGGCCGCCATATGGCGGCGGGACGCTGGGGCAGAGCTGGTTTGTCCTCCTAACTTGCCTTTAAAGACCATGCTCTGTTGAATGCAGATTAAACCCTGGGCAATACATGATCACTTTATTTTGGTTAGCCAACGATGCAACGCAAAGAAAAGGCATGTGGCACGACGCACACTCACACACTCACATATATATATATATATATATATATATATATATATATATATATATATATACATATGTGTGTGTGTGTGTATGTGTGTGTGTGCGTCTGTGTTTGCGTGTGTGTGTACGTTTGCGTGTGCGCTTGCGTGTGCGTGTGCGTGTGTGAGTGCGTTTGTGTGTGTGTATTGACGAGAAATTCGTTGTTCTGTGAGATGCGTCTCGAGCCAATACAGGATGCATAAGTTGATCAACATATGTTGATATGAATTATCACAACTTGGTGAGTGAGCGATATATATATATATATATATATATATATATGCATGTATATATATATATATATATATATATATATATATATATATATATATATATATATATTGTCTGCAATGTGATGTGAAGTCGATACGCTACTCCTGGCGATGGTTGTAAAACCTATTGGCAAATGTAAAAATGTTACATATACGTATCCCTATTTTCTTTCCACCGAAAGCGTCATGATATAGACTAGGCATATGTGATTTATGACATTGATATGCATGGGGTCTTTAAGATCAGGCTTTAAATGTTGACGCTCTTGTAAAAGCCTGAGTAACGCATCCATTTCAAAGATAGCGATGGCTAGTATGGCGAACCCCTAATTGGTCTGCGAAGATGGCCATGGTGCGTCCGATATTGGTGGGGCTATTCATCACGAGTTGGATAACTTGCCTTCAAAGTTCGAAGCGCTACCTATCTCGGATTCGAACGATCATGCTTGCCTGCACCCATGAAACTCTGGCCAAACATGGTCCGCATGCCTGTCTGCCCAGCATGTCAAATTTATATATACATATATATCGATATATATGTATATATATATATATATATATATATATATATATATATATATATATATATATATTTATCTATCCGGCAACATGAAAGAACACCGGTATGGTTTGGCGTTTGTCAGGCACAGACTGTCAAAAACATAGTCAATAACCACATCTTGTAGCTCTCGGATGGGCAAAATTTTCTGGTGTTGGCAGACGACATCTTGCTTCTTTCTGGTGACGACAGCATTTGCACTTTGTCCTGGATTGTTGACATGCCGAGCGTACGCAATAACTAAACTCCTCTCGTCCCACCACTTAGAGAAAAGCAGATTGCACAACTCTCGGCTCTCGGTCAACCAGAATTTAAGTGTTTCCACTTAGAAACTGCAACTGCCTTGCCATCTAAGCCGGTGCTAGAGGTTTCTTGTGCTTTTAAAAGGAAGACACCTCTAAGTTTCATTGGGTGAACAGACACATTTACCACTTTTACAGTTCAACACTACCAGCATCTTGCTTTGAACTAGTTTCTCGCTGAAGCAGTCCACATAAGAGTAAAATCACTTGCTGAGTGATAATGCACATTAAGAAAACGTCAAGCAATTCGCAAGGCCCCTTCATGTTTGGGGCTGCACTAAATCGACGAGCATTAGCTGCACTCGATAAGAAAAAAAAAACTCGGGATTAAATAGGGCTAATGATGGATGCCTGTGTTCTGCATGATGGATTATTCGTCTCCCGTATCTGAGACAGCTTAATCCGCATCTGCCCACATTCTTAGGGCAGCCTTGTCTTTACCTGTTCACACGTCCGAGACAGCCTTGTCTGCGCCTATCCCTCCTCAAGTAACCTTGCTTGAACCTCCGGCGGGCCTTGGCCGCCATATCGTTGCAGCGCGACGCTCAGCTAATGGTAAAACTTTCGCCGGCTTCTCTGGTGGGAACGATGCAGACTGCAGATAAGGCAGGGTTTGTCGAGGAGCTTTGATAAGGCGGTGTGGCGGCCTACGTCTGGTGGAGGCGAGTGACAGGTCGTCGTGTGTTCGTTGACAAGGTCACGTTCGTGGTGTCAGTCGTGGCTGAGGACCAAGGTCTGAGGAAAGCAAAGATAGATGGCTGGTTGAACTTAAGGGATAAAGTACCCCTTTAGATTGGTTAAACATTGTGAGGATGGAGCTGCACTGTCCGACGCTCTTGCGAAATTTATTCAAGATATTGTCTAATCAGATAACTTAAGCATACCCACTTGATTAGAGCTAGCTTGCTACAACAAAAAAAAAACTGACGCCTTGGCACCACCGCTTTTGTCGATATTTGATGCTAACTGATGTTTGTAATGACGCAACCGTAGAAAGATGCACTACTGGCATGACATAAGCGTCCATAAATTTGGTAAAATCACTTGTGGTGTCTGCCAACTTAAGATGTCATACACCATGCATGTGTTTATCTAACATCTCGCGTCAGAAAACCTGAGACGCGAAAGATATGGAGCAGAAACTCTTGCCAAGATCGTTAGTTTCTGAAGTTGGGCACCACAACGCATTTTCCCTTATTCAGAAAGAAAGGAAACTGCCACTAAGTTTTTGCAAAAACGGCCTGGGATGATGGACATCGCTGTTTCAACAGCGGGGGAGCTGTCGCTGCTTTGTGGGGTTTACGTTGTACTCGCTGATCTTCAATGTGTCTTGGCCTAAAGCTATGCGCACACGGTTCAGTTCAATCATACTCTATTTTGACTGATAACGTTCCTCATCACCATGAATTTTTGGACCACAGGCTTTTTTTGCTTGCGTTTCCTTTGCCACTGAGCCCATAAGGTTGCAAACGATTCTGTACGCCAGTTTCAGAGCTGGGGCTGACTGGTTTTCAGTGTGCCCTACGCGGGTTCCTGCTCTTTCCGTGCACATGTCTCGCCAGATGGTCCCATTCCCGTCGGCTGTCGCACCATACCCGGAGTGTGGACTTTCTGGCGGGGCGTGCTATCATTGTGACCCTGGATGTTCGAGTGTGTGCAGAGCCAGTCACGTGATGGCTGAACTGCGCCCCCGCGCCAGCCGCGCCCTATCTCCCCCGTGCTCTGCCGCTGTGAATGCTGCGCCGTCTCGCACCCGTGTGCCGCGGCACAGTCTACTCGCGTCTGTGCAGGCGGCTGACGTTCCTTATGATGCGCGACGACGCGCAGCGACTGGTCTTAGCGGCCGGCGGCACGCGTGATTGTCCTGGATCGTGCCTGTCACCGAAGTCTCAGAGTACGCAGTGCGATGTGGGCGCACATACCCTTGTACGTGCGCACTCAGGGGCTAACGTGAATTGAACGACGTGGGCAAGAGCATTCTTACGCTCTTAAACTTTTTAAAGGGAATGTTCCACATATGAAGATATTGGGACAAGCGTCGGGTATGATAAAATAGGCCCATTCGTAAAAAACAGGTATACGCTTAAGTGGAAAAGACTTCTCAAGGCAATATAACCTCACCATTTCGAAAATATTCCCCTAAATACGTCATCGTTTGTGATGTCGTCATCATCATTTACGCCACCCTCGTCATCGAACGTTTGTACGACGTATAAGGGCTGCCAAACTGGACGTTCAAATTGTCACCGTACCAGGCGGGCTGACTCACTTAGAGTACTTTGGCTTCTAGGGACGTGTTGTGCTAAGGGGTGCAATGTTTCCGAGCTAAAATTTCGTTGTGTGTGCCTGTTTTTGCTCTTTCTCATAGTGTTCTTGCATATTTATCCATGGTGTTACACAATTTACTTGCATCCACATGCCTGATTACGGCACTTTTCTTGAGTTATTGGATAACAAGCCTGATTTCAATCATGACTAGTACCAATGTCAAATTTTCCGTGTTATGTAACATAAAACGTGAATCGTGTTTGAAAGGAGATGTGCACACTTTTCTGCAGGCTACTTCAAGGTCACCCAGACATCCATGGCGTCATAATAACGTTATTCAAATCTCGTCACTCCACTGACCTTGCGGCGATCGACACCAAGAAAAATGTGACCGTCAAGTCTTTAATACCTAGCGTTTGTGAGCACAACGTCCACAAATCACGGCCGCCAATTGGCTCTCAATCACTGTTGTGCCAGGTGCGATGATGCAATCAAACAATGACGCACTGAGGAGCATATTGACTACATAGAGAAGTTTTGTTGTCGAGAGCAACGATTTCCAGTCAAAAGAATACCAGTAAATATAGATGAGCTTCTTTCGTCATGTTAACTACTTGCCTCAATACCTTCAAATGTGGCACATTCCTTTAAGAATAACAGGCCTATAAAGCGCACTAAATGACCTTCAAGATGTCCATCTTAGTTCAAAACGCCATACAAATTTAAAACACTTCCTTTGATATATGGGTCAGTGCTAACGCAACAAGTATTGCTTAACTTGAGCTCCGATCCCACAAATCCATCCATTCAAAAAGGTTCGGACCAAATCCTTTACGAAAAATACGCTTTCTGCATCTGCCATGCTACTAAAATCTCCACTAAGGTCTCCCTGTTGCTGTGCGGCAGGCTCAAAGCGACGTCAACGGGTTGGTGTATCAG